CCTCAAAATGGCTGATGGAAGTAGATTGTATGCTCCCATAGTCTGAAAAGCCAAGTGCAGTATTTGGTTGTAACTCTGAAGGAGTTACAATAAAGGCCCAAATGAAGTCTGTCTTTGAAGGAGACTGGTACTGCAGGTGCTATTACTGTTATAAAATATACTGCATTTCATTAAAATTGAGTATTTAATTGCTTGAGCAGGTTGCACTTCACCAGCCCCCTCAATGTGCTTGTGGATGCCTTTTTCTTCTGTCTGAAGTCCTTAAAGCGAGGCCCCCTCTTTGGTAAGGCTATATTTGAAATATTTTGATCTATGGATAACTTCCTCTTGCTGTGATTTGAGTTTAAAGTATACTCTCTTTAATATTTGCTCTGGTCATGCAGGAACGTGGTTCTTCAGAATGAATCAATTGATGAAGACCTCGAACATTTTGAAGACATAATAGAAGAACCTGAACATAAACAAGGATTAGGTCCTAATATGCAACAAGAAAAGGCTGTTGATGATGTTATGAATAGCAGAGATGTTGGTAAAAGTGGCAGCAATTCATCTTCTGATTCAGAAGATGAAGACACTCCAGCCTCTTATTCTGAAGAAGATGGTGGATCAGATGGAGGAGAGGACCTGCTCATGGGAGAAGGTATGAATGTGGTTGAAAATTTTAAAACAGTATCTAATTGTGACAGGGGCCATCCTCAAAATCCCAGTACTGGAGAGGACTCTCGAGCCTCTTCACTGCCTGGAGGGTACAACCCATTGTACAGGGAACCTTCTTACTGGTATGTTTTTTTAACCTTTTTCATTTCTTTAGTACTTTGTTTTTCCATGTTCAGAAGTCATAGTCCTTTGAATGTTTGGAAACTAGCAGTTTGAAATTTGAAGATGTTTAATGCAAAATCTACTTTCTATGGAAAGAGAATCAATTCTAAAAATGATTAATATTCAGTGCTTTGAAAACAAGAGGCACAATAAAAGCGCAAAGGCTTACCATCCAAGGCATAAAGTGAGGTGCATGTTTGGACGAATCAGGGTACACATTTTTGAAAAAGAATTTAAAAATAAAAAAATAGTAACAATTATATGAAAACCTGGATTTTAAAAGAAATTAGATGTTTTGAAAAGCTTATTAGCTCAATTCAAAATACATAAGCATGTGAAACTCTTGATGTGTTTGTCCATCTCTTAGTTGCATTTTACTTAAAGTATCTAGTGTCATGTTAAAGTCTTACATATCTAATCCTAGGGGTTGACCCTTGTGAGGGTTTTGGTGTGGCACCTCACCACAAATTGTTTGCTTATATATATAAAGTATTGATTTTGTAATCTTGGTCACACTTCATTCTATTTTAAGGTTAGGGATGAGTGATTAGTTGTATGTTGCTTTAGTGAAAATTTTGCCATTTGAGATCCTATCTGCAACAATGAAGGCTTCAGGTATTCAGAATTTCAGATGGTCTTTGTTTTTGTTTCTTTTAAAAGTTGATATTATCATTGCTGGTGTAAAAGCACTAATGGAAGACAAATTGAAGTTAGATGACTGTTACAGACATGTAAAATGCATAAGAATATATAAAACGTAATAAAAACAACTTATAATAGATATGCGCTGGGGTTGCCTTGTGCCTCAGCTTAGGCATGTGCCTAGGTGTGCACCTTCTAATGGGTTGTCTCCTGGGTTCAAGTGAGGTGCATGCCTTATAAAATGTGCTTTGATGTGCACCTAGGACCACCTTTTAAAACATTAACAGTGCTATCCATACAGGCTGGTTAAATTGTATTTGCATTTGGATGTTTGAACACCATGGATCTGCTATGCTATATGGGGTTTGTTGTATTGCACTGGACCTAGGGGTGTCAATGGACTGGTTTTGGGTTTGGACCCATCCAAATCAAAATCAATTTGGACGGATTGGACGGATCTTTACATATTGAATTGGACCAGTCCTGACTTAATGGTCCAAAATATTTATTGGATTGGATTGGACCTGCTCCATCCATAATGGGTTTATATTGGATTGGGTCAGATTGAACCAATATTCGATCCATTGATAGAAGATAAGGATACAGATTTCAAAGGACCAGGTTTTGGTTGGAACCAATCTAAATTAAAACTAATTTGAACAGATTGAATGGTCCAGACATTGAATTGGACTGGTCCAAAATGGTCCAAAGTATTCATTGGATTGGATTGGACCTGATCCAATTGACACCCCTAACTGGGCCCACATGCAAACACAGTTTGATCAATCCATATGGGTATCATTGCTCATGTAACAATAGTAGTATACAGCCAGTTATAGAGATGAAAGGTACTTGAGTCTTAAAGACAATTGAAAGGTAGTTTTGACTCGTTGTTGTATTATGAAGTATTCTTCATCTTGGATGATATTTGAATCGTCTTTCTTGTCCTCCTACATTTTGTCTTTCTAAAAGCAAGTATGTTATATCCATTTCTTTCTTTTGCTTTATGAAACAGCAATGCAGACCATGTTTGCTGGTGGGAGCTGATGGTACTGGGTTCACATGTGCATCCATCGGTTGCTACTATGGCTAGGACCCTGCTTTCTGGGGCTAACATTGTCTATAATGGGAACCCCTTAAATGATCTTTCACTGATTGCATTTCTAGACAAGTTCATGGAGAAGAAACCAAAGTCAAGCGCATGGCATGGTGGTTCCCAGATTGAACCTGCAAGGAAGGTTAGTTTCTTTATGAGCTTATGCTTTATTCTAATGGTTTCATATTTATCTTCTTACTTTGTGAAACCGCTTGAGTTATGTTTCTTTTTTTCTCCATTCATGGTAAGGTACAACCCTGCCCCTGAAGGCTGAAAATATTTATTGCTACTTGTCCAGTCGATTCAATTCAAAGCTGCACTCTGGTTAAGGAGATGCTCAATATTTTGAAAACAGGGAGATTTGGTGGATCATAGCAATGTTAAAATAATTAGAGAATATGAGCTTCTAACAATGTTTTGAAAACTGATCCAGAACTGGAACCGCTTTGTAACTGGTTTCTGGGTCAGTGGTTTGACCGTCTGGTCCAAATGGATGGCCTGTTGCAATTTTTTTGATAAGTAATTGCCTGTTGCAATTTAAAAAATAAAAATAAAACAATTAATTAAAATAAAAACAGCCAAAAGCCGTCCAGGTCAAACAGGTCAACGGTATGACTGTCCAGGTCAGCGGGTTGCTGACCAAGTCAATGGTTTGATTGCCTGGGCGGTTTCCAGACCAAATGGTCCGACCGCCCGGTCAGTGATGGTTTGAAAACCATGGCTTCTAAAATGAAGGAAAGAAAAAGGTTGATTACCTGAACTCAGCTCGGACATGGTTCTTTGAGTGCTAGTTTAGAGTTTATGTTGTTAAAAAGTGGAATTCGTGTGATATGAATGCCAGGTTTATCTCCCAATATTTTATTTGCTATGGTGCTTCACATCCCTACTGACGGTTTGAATGACCTATAACTCCATATCAATTGGTGGAAGCATCTTTCAGATGGCAATTTCTCCTTGTTTCAGTTGCTGATTGAGGCTATGTTTTTACAGTTGGAAATGAATAACCACTTGATTGGAGCGGAACTTCTTTCATTGGCTGAAGTGGATGTTCCACCAGAGGATCTTGTCTTCCACAAATTCTACATGAATAAAATGAGCTCTTCAAAGAAACTGAAGAAGAAAAAGAAGAAGAAAGGTGCTGATGATGAAGCGGCAGAAGAGCTATTTGATGTGGATGGTGGGGATGAGAGTGACAATGAAGAAATCGAGAACTTGTTGGATTCTGAGGAGGTTCCTCTGGAATCTGAAGGTGATTATGATTATGATGATTTGGATCAAGTCGCCAATGAGGATGATGATGACCTAATTGCAAATGAGAGTGATGTTGAGACAGACCTCCCATCTGATCTTGGGGAGGGGCAAGAAGAAGAAGATGGTCATTTAAGTACTGGCGGTGCCAATAATGACACTACCATTTCCAAACAAATAAAGAGGAAACGGAAGTCTGGGACAAGAGCTGGCGTATCCCCATTTGCGAGTCTTGAAGATTATGAATATCTAATGAATAATGATAGTTCCACAAGAGAGAAGTCTAGATCAAGAAAGAAAAGAAGGCAGTAAGGCTAAACTCGCCTTCCACTTCGATACAATATTAAGCATGGGCGACAAATTTTTGTAAATTTTATCCATTCATCCATCTGTGTTTTATGATGTTTAATTGATGATCCTCTAAAGGTGCTTGGGCAAGAATTTTGTGCATTAGTCCTTCCCACAATTTTTGCTTTAGAAAGGAAATACAAAGGGTTAAGGAATGGTGAGAATACCATGTATTGTCTTTAAATTATCAATTGATTGCCATTCTAGAACTTTATGGTTAGTTTTTATATAAGTATTGGAGGTTTGGTTGGCGTCCCTAATAAATAAAGTTCCATACAATGCCAAAACTACTCCTGTTAGTACTCTGCTTGGGGGAAGCTTTGTATTTTAGATTTTCCACCAACTGAATCTAAAGTGCTTTGGTACGAAGTTCAACAATTAATCGATTTTAATAAGGTATAGTATTTGAAGACCTAAGTAGGAGGTCTTTCTTTAGCTCGTCTAATTTCTTTGATCAAACCCGAAATGATAGAAAAGATGTTTTATAACACATAAGAGTCCGTCAGAAAGACCAAGCAATTGCCGTAAGATAATGTTACAAAAATGATAATTTAATAAAATATTTAGGGCATAGTAATCAGCAGAACATGCCATTCAGCCGTTAGATAACAGCTGATGTCTTAGGTTCAGTCTGTTCATTGTTTGTTCGAAAATATCGCATCAACAAAACACAAAGTCCAGTTGCTGATCTCTCTTTTAGTTCACTGAGAACTGTTATGGTTTTAAAGGCTTGGTTTGGAAAGAGTATAAATACAAATATGTACAGTACAATTATATACAAATAATATAAAATACAAGGTTTTGCACTCTATATATCTGTGCTTGTATTGCTTCCAAACTGAGTCAAAAAGACGGTAGACATTTTTAAGCTGAGAAGATATTGGCTTCTAAAGGAGAAGAGTCCCCCTCCCTCACAAGATGCTTAAACTTTGACGCCAAGTCACCATCTTTTTGCCTAAGAGGTGGGTAGTCCATTTTATCTAAAAAAATTTAGAAACATCTCCCCATAAATAATAAATACAAGTATTGAGGTGTGCTCTTTGATGACCAGATCCAGACTCATCACTGCCACACATCATTCGTTGGAGAGATATCTTTTTTTTCCCCTTTCTGTGTCACTATTGCATTTTTCTATGCCCTTCCATCAGTACAAAATAATAACGAGAAGCAAAAGAGGGTTATCCTTTCATCTTCCTTGAAACCATTGTTGATTTGAGAGATATGCTAGATAGTTAGATTAAGGCATACTCCTTGGTGTTGCTAATGAATCAGGGTTTAATTTCATTAAGGCACATTGGACTTCTTTAGATTGAGTTTTTTTTTTATGATAAATTGTTTAGGGTAAAATATAAAAACCTCCCCTGAGTTTTCTGACAATCTTATAAACCTCCCGTAGATTTCGACCCTGACAAAAGCCTCCCTTAACCTTTTGAAAATGGGTATAAACACGTCCCTTCCATTGGTTTTATTGACGGAAAACGTCAATGTAATACATTAATAGTTTTAAAATACCAAATTCATCCCTGATGTGGCTTATGCAAAATCTATGATGAAATGAAAACTATGAGGAAAGAGCACAACAACAACCAAAACCAAAGCTCTCTGTCACTCAAATCTAATGTGATGGAGACTGGGTTCTTTTTGGGTTGATCCTAATCGAATATCAGGGGCAGAGGTTGAGCCTTTGGAACTTTCCTTTGCTTTTGTCTTGAATGCTCATCGATTGTGAGAGTCATCATGCTTGCTTATTATTCTAGTGGATTAAAAGGCTTTAAGGTTTGATGAGATTCTTAAATCTTAATGGAGAGGATGATAGAAGAGTCCAGGGTCATTGGGGTTCACCAGACGCCAGAAGATGGAAAGTGTGTGGGCGATCTGTATTCGCAATTGCAAGCCAATAAGTGGGCGATGATTCATCCAAAGTCCAAAGTAGAGTTGTTTGTATAAGGGCATTTTAGCAATTTCAACATCTCAATTAGTGAAAATCCAAGAAAAAGGAGGTATTTGTACATTTTTCAAAGCATTTAGGGAGGTTTTTATTGAAGTCAAAACACATGAGAGGTTTATAAGATTTTCAGAAAAATTCAGGGGAGGTTTTTATATTTTACTTAATTGTTTATCCTGTCTATTATAATAATCATGAAGGCTGATATTAATTATCTTGTAAGATATAAAAGAGTAGGAAGTATTGTAAGGCTTGGCTAGTCCAATTTTGACTTTTGGAGCTATTATCACAATTCTACAGCCTAAGAGAACTGAAATGCATAGTTCATCTCCTTTTTTCGGCAACAATCTGACTATTCTTCTCAAATGTGTATGGTGGCGGAAGCCGATAGCGGGCTCGCCCAGGCTTTTTTGCCCAAAACGGCCGAAGTTTTAAGTTTTTTTTCCCCTCTTATTATAGTATTGTATGGTCGCACTCACACAGAAGTTGGCCTACTACGCTTATCATCATCACTCATCACTCATCAAAAAGGAGCTCTGAATTGGATTTTTGATTTTTCCGGTGTCAGCAGCACATGGCACATGGCACATGGCAGTCCAGTGGGTGTTTCAGAAGTAATACTAAATTATCTCATTTTAAAATTCAGGGACCATGGCATAGGCCGAGATTAAAGGGTACTAATTGAGAAATTTCCCAACTTATAATCGGTAAAGCCTGCTGGAGTCTGAACAGCTAATCTATTTCTCGCTCCTCTTCAATCTCAAATTCTCAATCACTCCTCTTCATGCTTGTCGTCGTCGTCTCATCCTTATATCTCAGGCTCAGCTCAGGAAAAGTGGCCAAGTGGGTTTTCGTTCTCCACCGTACAATCCGACGGTTGAGAAGAACAGACATTATTACCTAGATGATTGAGTGATGGGTAGGTCCATATGCCGACGCTCCCAACCGTTCGCTCTGTCTCTGGCCCTCTGCTTAGCCCACGCGCCAATGCTCATGGCCCATGGTCCCACGATCAGACCACCCTCCCCACCTTCAAAGGGATATCCTCCGCCAGGCGCCAACCGTGAACCGCCATCCACCATCTCTCTATTGTTTCTGGAGTTATCGTGCATTGGCTTTGCTCTCCTCTCTCTCTCTCTCTCTCTCTCGCGGTGGTTTAGACAAGAGATTAGACACATATGAGCTCTAAAAACAATTTCGAATTCGAGGGATCTCAATTCATAATCGAAATCATACACATATGAGCTCCAAGTTAAATTATGTTGATCTTAATCTTCGACCCTCATGTTTCTTACCAGTCAACAATCTTACCTATCGTCGTCCAAATTTACAATTCCGTGGGTCTTGCGTTTGGAGGCGTCGAAAACTAAAATCCCCGCCAAAATTCACTCTAAGTAACCGGTTAGGTCCTTCAATATTTTCTGCCTTGGACGATTTATCTCAGGCCCTGCTTTCCCTGTTCCCTTCCGTAAATTCACTGGATTTGATTGCTCCGGCGTTGGGTTTCGCATCGGGACTTGCTCTGTATTTCTTTCATTTGAAGTCCTCTCGGGATTTTGCCGTGTCCCATATTGGAAGCTGGATTTTGTTCACTAGTCCTACGCCGTTTAATCGATTTGTGCTGCTTCGTTGTCCATCTTTATCCTTTCAAGGGAGTGAGCTGCTCCAGGACGTCAATGAGAACCTCGTCAAGGAAGACCGGCATTTCGTCAAGCTCAATAGCGGCAGGATTCAAATCAAAGAACCCGCTGGCGTTTTCGAGGGAAAACTTCTTTACCAGCGAGTTTGTGTACCCACCGATGATGGAGGGGTGATTTCCCTGGACTGGCCTGCGAATTTGGATTTGACCGAGGAACCTGGAATGGATACCACTCTGTTGCTTGTTCCCGGAACAACAGAAGGAAGCATGGATAATAACATACGCATGTTCGTCTATGAATCTCTGAAACACGGATGTTTTCCAATCGTCATGAATCCCAGGGGATGCGCAGGTTCACCACTGACCACTGCTCGGTAAGCTTCACTTAACGATGTATTCTTCCTTTCAAGCTCTGCTGTTGTTCGGTTGCACGGAATTGCTTTGAATAATTTGAAAACTTCCAAGTTTGAGAAGTCTGTTTCTCCTATTATCTCACCATCTCTACTGACTGTTCCGGTAGTATGTTTATTTCACAGTTTACGACCTTTGGGTTATTGATATTAGTTTTAATTAACAGATGCAATATCCTTGTAAGTTTTATTTTATTTGTACACCAAAGTGTTCATTAAGAGAAATTTGTTTATAAGGGAGAGAATTCCAAGTTCAATTATGAATCCAGCATAACCGGCCTCTACTCTAACATGGAACTGTAGCTCGGTTCTCTGTCATCCATTTACTGTTTACTATTTATTTTAATACACATTTTTCCATCTTCACTTGAGGTGCAATTTGCCCTTTTTCTTTGTAACAGTTCTGCTACGCTCCAAATTCCCTCCAGCTTCCCATTTTCCAGATTATTACTCCAAGCAAGGAGCTTATGGTCAACTTACTAGTATACCAAATGATCAAATGACTGACTTTAGTCCTTGAAAACACTCAGTATATCCCAAGAAGGAAACATTTAGAGCCTTGAACTACCTTATCTGTTTTGCACCCTAGCATGTCCAATCAAGGTTTCTATGTTAGACCCCAAGAGCAAGAGATGATCAACATGGAAAGAACCTTGAAGAATTGAAAGTCTGATGAGATTTAAATATTCCAAGTTGGGAAAAAAATTTACTTCTTTTATTCTTTTCATTATAGGATGCATCCCATAGTTTTGCCTTTACACCATGATAAACTGCTTATTTCCCTTGATCAGGAAATAGTTAATCCCAAGTTCCCTATGTTTGCACTATAAAGCTGATTATAGGACTTTTGGTTACTTCATTTATGTAGGTTATTTACAGCTGCTGACAGCGATGATATCTGCACAGCTGTACAGTTCATCAACAGGGCAAGACCGCGGACAACCTTGATGGGTGTTGGTTGGGGATATGGTGCAAACATGCTGACAAAATACCTTGCAGAAGTGGGAGAAAGAACACCTTTTACAGCTGCGACATGCTTTGACAATCCATTTGACTTAGAAGAAGCTACAAGGTCATCTTCTCATCACATTGCTGCAGACCAGAAGCTCACTGATGGCCTGATAGATATTCTGCGTTCTAACAAGGTGAATTCTTTCAAACCACAAATTATCATGTTCAGAGTTTTTTTTGGCTTCTGAAAGAAAGCATTTTTTTTAACTGTAATGAAAAAAGTTTTTAGGAGTCATTGTTTCATGTAATGGTAAAATCTTGGTCTGACAAGTGTGAGAACATGGTTTCAAGTCTGAGAGAAACCACTTTTTGCCAAAAAAAAAGGCCAGAGGTCAGGTCTGTGTCCAGTTCATGCCTCTCAAAACCCTGGATATCTTCAACCAACATTTGGTAATGGTCTATAAGGCAAAAAAAAAAAAAAACCTTCATGCACAGACAGTTTGATTGCATCTTATTATTCTTTTTCTGTTTCATATGGTGATTATCTTCTTATACACATGCTAACTACTACAAAATTACCATGTGTTCAGGAACTCTTTTATGGAAGAGCAAAAGGGTTTAATGTGGAAAAGGCTCTATCAGCAAAATCTCTGCGTGATTTTGAGAGTGCAATCTCTATAGTTTCTTATGGGTTTGAATCCACTGAGGAGTTCTATGCAAAAGCTAGTACAAGACAATTAGTTGGGAATGTTAAGGTTCCCCTTCTCTTTATACAGGCATGTGCTATGTACTCTTCATACTTCATGCATCCTGAAATCTGTTTCATATTATCTATATATTCAATATGGATTGGTTATGGTGTGCTTTCTCTGCATTGCAGTAGCGGTGCAAGACACTTCTTCCTGTGCATCAGTTTTTTAACTTATTTAGGACTAACATCTTCCTCAAGTGCAATTACTTTGATATTTACTTTGTCTTATTTATGTATACAATGTTAATATCTTTAAGGTTTCAAGTTACTAAGTCAAACCTCTCAAGAGGTGAAACTTAGTGGTTTCAAATATTTTGCAGTTGATACCAAGAAGAATTACTTGCAGAACTTTCTTTTTCAGTATGTTACATGCAGAAATTCTATACGTGTATAAGCTTTATCTAGATTCTAGTATATATTACCAAGTATATTAACTCTTCATATTATCTATGAACCAAGATTTCATATTGTAACTTGTATTATTTTCTTACAAATTTCTGTTTTTCTCAGAGTGACAATGGGACAGTGCCGGTGTTCTCTACTCCACGCAATTCCATAGCAGAAAATCCATTTACAAGCTTGCTTCTCTGTTCTTGTTTGCCTTCTAGTATGCTTATAAGATCTTGGTACCATCAACTTGCAATTGAGGTGAAGAACTCTCTTCCTTGAGAATTGAAAATCAGACTAGTATTATTTATAGAAACATTTGGAACTGAAGTGTGTTCTTCATGGGTTTGCTCATATTATTAATTGGCATTGTTTTCTGAAGAAATGTTGTGGTTATTATTGTTTTCATTTGGTCTACTTTTGGTAGTTCTTACTTCAGTTTCATAGATCATGTGATGAAACAGGACTTTCCTAGTCAATCCTCAATGTTAGGATGTAATAGTCATTCTCCTTACCCCATATAGTTGGGATAAGGCTTAGGTGATGATTTTTTTTTTTTTTTTCTTTTGGGNGGGGGGGGGGGCTGAAGATACTTGTTTTTGAAGAGGGAATGTAATGCTGGTAATAGGATATGCTTTTTATTTGGTGGAAGTTTGAAGGGGAAATGTTTCAGTATTACAGTAAGAGCTGACTTGTCTTTCACCCAAAAAGTAGAAAGAAGGAACAAGGAACTGGATCTGGTAGTTTTGGACTGGAAGGGATTTTCCTTTGAGCTCACATGGTTTGCAACATGCCAAGGATTGTTTATGTCAGAAGACCTGTAACCAACAGCAGTATTTGCTTTTTGGTTAACAACTTTTCGACTTGAAATAAAAAAAAAAGAAGAAATGAGACAAAATCTTCAAATGGTGACAAAAACTGGCAAAATTAATCGAACCTCTGGGTTTTCTTTTTTTAATTTCTTGAATTCTTTAATTGATTTCTTCAGTTTATTAAATTTTTTCAACAAAATAGAAATGAGATATTAAAATCCTGAGAAAACTTGGTCTTTAAGACATTTATGTAACATATATTTTAACAGAAACACCAAGCATATAATATTATAGGCAAAGAAGGGACCACACCTTATCTAATAACTCTTGGTGTTCTACCAAAGGATGATAAGGTACTTTGAAGGATGTCTCTCAGTAGGCTAAGTATGATTAGTTGTAAAATGTTAATGAAGCATTTGACATAATTATTACTGTGATTTGTACTATTGTATCGTTATTATAAAGAATTAGTTATTCTTAAATTAACCGTTCAACTAAAACTTTTAAAAGAGCTTTATATTCTGAAATCCTAGTTAAAGTTGTTGGGATAAAGGTCTATAATTAATAAATCAAAATATCTTTTACTTAATTTTATGCAAAAAAAATTATTGAGCATTTTCTATGTTTCACAATGGTTTCCCATTGTTTTTTTTTTTTTCAAAACCAGTAAAGTTTCCTAATATTTTGACAAAATTTAGAATATTTGCATGTAACAAATTGATTTTTTCGTTGCTATATTAAATTTATTTTGAAATATCAGAGAAATTTTGAGAGATATTTGGGAATTGGTTCATTTGATTAATTAGAAATTGGTAAGTAGAAGGGTAAAAGAAGAGGGTTTAGGATTGGGGAAGTAGCGCTCAGAAATTCTCTCTCTAGCATATGGTCGAGTTAATGGTCTCTCTGGCAAAAAAAAAAAAAGAAAAAAGAAAAAAGAAAAGAAAAGAAAAGAAAAGAAAATCCAAGTTTTGGAAAGACCTTTGGTGGGGGGATTCTATCCTTGAAGATAAATCCCCTTCTATTTTTAAATTATCTACTTAAAAAAGATTGACTTATTTTTGAATGTGTCAATGCAACTGAAGCTGTGGCTCTAATTCAATCTTGGTTCCTCTAGTTCTAGTTACTTTTCTTGTTCATCTTTCTTTGAGGATCTTTCATTAAACTCTAACCTATCCCCTTATTTTCCTTTAAATGCTCTTTGGTGAGGACCAGTACCACCAAAGATCAGCTTTCAGCTGGGAGGTAGTTCCATAACAAAATCAATACTTGTGAGTTCAGCCAATGAAGAAGATCTTATTGGACATTTTCTCCTAATGTTTTCCTAATGTGCAAAGCAAATTGTTAAAAACACTTCTACACTTACTAATCTTCTGTAAATTTCTGACTGATTTTCAGAAGCATTTGTTTTCATTGTTTAGATGCAGGTAGTGTCTACCTAGTGGTCTACAAAATCTACTTCCTTTTTTCTCTCCTATGAAAAGGAGAGGAAAAATATTGTGGAGATGTACAAGATGTGCAGTGTTATGGTGTATTTGGGAAGAAAGGAATACTAGACTCTTCAATGACAAGACAAAGGGGATTGAGGAAGTGATAGATTACATTATTGTGAAAGTGGCAATTGGGTGGAAACCTTGGATATCGTTTCTTTATTTATAACTGATGAAATCATAAGAAGCTGGAAAATAGTGGCAGATTCCTCTATTCGCAGAACTACTATAAGCACCAAATGGAGTTCACCACCAGCACCATAGCTCAAATTCAATTTTGATAGGTGTAGCATAGGCAATCCAGGACCTTCAGGGGTGGGAGGATAATCAGAAATAATTAGGGTAATGTGCTGGCTTTGTTTTCAGGACAGGTTTTGGAGATTTGACAAGGGTGGAGTTGTATGCAGTGTTGTATGGATTACAAAAGGCAAAAGCACCAAATTGCAGGAAAATAATCACAGAAGAGGATTCAAGGGTTGTGGCAGGAAGGCTACAAACAGAACAAGATGGCTCGTGGATAGACCTGTTCACGGGCCGGGCTTTGGGCTGGGCCCCATTCAAATTTTGGTAAAAGTCAAGCCCGAGCCCGGCCCATGAGCAGGTCTACTCGTGGATGTATAGACATGTTACAGGAAATTAATGCTTTGATGCAGGAATTGTGTTCAAAAGTTAAATGGATTTACAGATCTGTAAATAGCTTAGCTGATAGCCTAGAAAAATAAGGGACAGAAGGGAGCAGATGTTTTGAGGTCAATTACCCTAAGAGGGGAGTTGTAACTGATGGAACTCGGTGGTGGTTAGCTGAGGCTAACTGCCTCTCTTTCTCATTTGTAATTAAGTCAAATTTTCTTACAAACAAATAAAATGTTATCAGTTACTGATCAAATTTGGAATTCTTTATTCCATGATGTCTTTATTTCGCCCTTTGGGGAAATGGGTAAATTTCACTATGTTTTAGGGAAATTGTGAGCCCTGAGTCACCAACATAGGGATGAGGATCAAGTCTTACCTTAGTGACCTAAATAACTTTTTTTTTTTTTTGATAAATGAATGAATATTATTAAGCACCAAAGATAAGGAATACAAGCATCCCAAGGAGAGGCACGAGATGCGACCTCTCCGGAAAAGTTAGATACAGCTTTCCAGACTTGCTTGGCCAAGGAGTTAGCCATAGTATTTGCTGACTTGCTTACCCATTTCACATCAACTCTAATATTACTGGTTAGCCACTTCACCTTTTTGAGGAGGCCTCTATAGCCCCAAATGGCAGTGTCCGGCTTTGATAGCCACCCTACTACCACTTGAGAATCTCCTTCAATTAAAAGATGTTCCACCCAAGTTGGTTGGCAAGCTGGATCCCTTGAACAGCAGCTAGTAACTCAGCTCTAGAGTCTCCCACTCCTACTGGTCTTGAGAACAAGGAAATAATGTTGCTATCCTTATTCCTTAGAACACCCCCTACACTCGAAGGTCTAGAGTTACCTTGGCTGCTCCCATCAAAGTTCAATTTAATGACACCTTCTGGAAGAGGTTCCCACTCTACCACCCTTCTATTCTTCCTAGCGAAGGTATTAGTCACTTCTAGCCAATTCCTCCAAAGATCATCCAATGAGAATTCAACAAACAGCGCTAATGTCTTCAGCCAATGGATTACTCTAGTTAAGATACAGTCCTTCACTTCAGCAAAACTTCTTTCCTTCTCTAGGAAAGTTCTAGCATTCCTTTCCTCCCAAACAGTCCATAATATAGCTGCTCTGATACATTTCCACATGATTTTACCTCTTTTTGTGTGCCACCCAAAAGTAGATGGATTAAACAACATACTTACATCAGACGGCGGGTTCCACCTACATCCAAATAAACTAAAGCTCCAGCTCCATAAAGCTGCAGCAAAGGAGCAAGAAATCAATAGATGGTAACAGTTCTCATTCTGGGCCTTATACAGGAAGCACCAATTAGGGGAGAGGAAAAGATAAGGTCTCTTCTTTTGCAGGTTTCCCAAAATGTTGATTTTCCCATAGAATACTTCCCAGCAAAAAAACAATTTTTTTTTTTGGGGGTGGGGGGAGGGGATAGGTCTTATCCAAACTTCTTTAACTGGGAACACCAGGGGGTTAGGGTTGGCAGGGGTCCAAACTCTTTGATCAGATTTAGTGGGGTCCAAACAAACTGATTCAAGGGCTGATAAAAAAAAACCGACTCAAGTGGCTGAAGAAACTCAGAAACACCAATCAATTCAGCATCCCTTAATCCCCTACAAAAGCCAAAGTTCCAATTTAAAGACAAGGGAAGTACCAGACTAGGGAGAAACTTTGAAATAGGCTCATTTTTGTAAAGGGGGAGGGAATAGAGAGAGGGAAAAAGATCCTTGAGGGGTTGGTCACTCACCCAAACATCCTCCTAGAATTGAATAGAAGTACGAGAGCAAGCTTCATACCTGATAAACCCGAGGAATTCTGATATTTAGTCGAATAGAAGTAGCCTAAATAATTTTGATAGACCAATTTTCCTGCACTAGTCATCATAGAGGAATTCTGATATTTAGTCTTAATAGATCTCCCTTAATTTAAGGGCCCATAATTTAACAACAGATACAGTACTAAGAGTTGCCACTTTGTGCAAAACTACTTAAATAATACCAAAACTAAGTGAAACCAACAAATTCTAGTCCTAAATTTAGGCTACAAGAAAGTGTTCTGATTACAATCTCATTTTTCCCCAAAACTAAAAAAGTTACTGTTAAGACTCTTGTAACTATTCTTACTGTTTAGATTAATTCAATGTATTAAGTACGAAGAACTTGAAAATAACTCAAAGAAAATAAAATTGATCTAAACAAAAACAAAAGGTTATGAAATTGTGACTGAAGGAGAAAAATGGAGTGACTTGATTTTTTTTTTTTTGATGAATGTATGACTTGATTTTTCTCTCCATATCTTCTTTTCCTTTTGCCTAGTTGGGTTTCTGTCTAATAAGGAAGCAAAGATATTTTGGTAGTGATGACTACATCATATTGGATCTTTGTCTATGCTATCATCTAATTCTTATATTTAAATAACGAACATATATACTTTTAATAATATTAATTTACACCTAAAACTACTTGTGCTAGTATGTGCATTTGGTTCTGATGGGTACACATGTTCTATGCAGTGGCTTACGGCAGTGGAGCTTGGACTTCTGAAGGGTCGCCATCCTCTGCTGAAAGATTTGGATGTTACCATCAACCCACCAAAAGGTTTATCTCTGGTTGAAGGTAAAACATTAGATAAAGGTAAAACTGTTAACAATTTTTTGAATCTTACCCAATCAGGTGCTTTAAATGGATATTCTGTTGATCCAATAAGGGATATGCTTGAAGAAAGTGATACTGCAGCTAATTTTCATTTAAGATCGAGAAGATATTTAGAAAAGGAGTTGAACTTTGGTGGTCTAAGATGGCAAGAAGAGAACAACCGTGATGTCTCACAGCAAAATACTTCAGTGGATGTGCAACCAGTCAAAGAGGAGGGGGATAATCCAGTTAATACCGAAAGAGGCCAAGTGCTACAGACTGCACAAATGGTCATGAATATGCTAGATGTGACTATGCCTGGTACACTAGCAGATGAACAGAAGAAGAAGGTTTGCTTAATTATCATGCTCTTGTTTCAATTTTTTGTTCTATTGCTAGACACGATTGTGGTGGATATTTGCTTTTAATGGTATTTTATGTGAATTCAATGATCCTTTTTGGTAATATTCATTATGCTTTATAAATCAGGATTTTAGCATGCAACAAGAGCTGTTAAATTTTGGGCCTCTATATTCATTTTATGTACAACTACTAGAAATGGAATTACATTCTACTACTGATTTAATGTTATTAAATTTGTTTTGTGGCTTTTCAACCCTCATATTCCAAGTGTTGCTTTTACTTATTGTAATCAGGTATAAGGATATATTAATAATTTTTTATAGGACAATGCTTGTTTATTTTCCTCTGTTAGTTGTTACTGTTAAAGCTTGATGCAGTAGTAAAACTTTAGGCTGACAATGCATGGATCGTAGGTTCAAGTCTAAGAGTGGCTGACTGGCCACTTTTTGTGTAAAAAATGCCAAAGGCTAGGTATGTATCCAGTTCACCCCTCCCAAGACCCCCCAGGTAGTCTGGACCGAAATTGGGTGATGGCCCTAACAATATTATAATTTTGGCCTTTTTACTATTAGATTTGGACAAGTAACTATCCTTAATATTGTTCATATGAGAGTAGTTCCATTATGTTAAAATAAACAACATGGAAGTCATCTTATGTTTTCATTTCCATGGCCATGCGTATCTTTGCACAAGTTGGACACATGTTTGTTATTTGAGGTAGTAAACAATAAGTAGGTCTTGACAGTGCATCCATCAAGGTATTGAAGTCTTAGTAGCTTGGATCTAGTTAATTAAAACCATCAAAAAGAAGTTGGTATTTCAAATAGGTAGTTTTCTTTTCTCCACCCTCCCCTAATTATATTTTCTTGTTCTTTTCCTTTTGTGTGTGTAGAGGTGATTTTTCTTCTATATGGGTTTCCTCTAACACATTTACCAAGTTTATGCCCAATGACAATCCATACTGAACACTGGCACGTTTTTCTTAGAACCATTTCTTTTGGAATATCTTTTGTTATTGCTCACACAGGGATTTGATTCTTTACCCTGATTTATTACTCTGTGGGTATTCACTTGTATTCTTATCCAGGTCCTCAGTGCCGTGGAACAAGGAGAAACACTAATGAAAGCTTTGCAAGGAGCTGTACCAGAATATGTTCGTGGAAAGCTTACTGCTGCTGTTTCTGAAATTGTGCAGACCCAAGGAACAAAGAAGATTGGTGAGATTCACAATGTGCCATCCAAGGGAAACTCAAGGGTCCAAGAAACACTTGGAGGACTATCAAATTCTGAAGTTGTGTCTAATGACACTCATCCTTCAAAACAGGCAAAAGGGGTTGATGATCCACCAGGTGATTCTGTTAACAATCAACCTGACATGGAGAAGACTGGTGGGGAACTAGAACCAGAGCTTCAACCTACACAGAACTTACAAAAATCTGTAGATCCAGGTTACTCTCAATCTGGGAGTAATCATGCAGGTGATATCTCCAGTCCAGAAAGGAAAGATGGTAATAAGTTGGAGAATAATCATGTAAAGAGTGACATTTTAAAAAAAAAGGCTGCCCAATTTTCTGACTTTGAGGAAACGGGAGAAAGAGGTGTTAATCTCAACCACCATAACGGGTCCAAGATGGCAGGTGGAACTGAGGAAGGTATCTGTGAACAGGATGGAATGAGTCAAGGCAGTGGAATAGCTCATATGAAAGTGGAAGAAGTGAATGACACTCAGAACAATGAAGATAAAAAAAGGATACTATCATCCATTGGTATTGAAGAATCATTGTCAAATTCCAAACCCTTTCCTGAGTCTCCATCAATGGAAAAGAAAGGGAATGGTAACGAGAAGAATGAAGACAATGATATGCAGCCTGCAACTAATCATAGTAAACGAGGTTCCATAAAATCTGAAGAAACTTCTCCATCACTTCCACCAACTTCTAACACCCCCTCTATCAGTGTTTCTCAAGCATTAGACGCATTGACAGGATTCGATGATTCTACCCAAATGGCTGTGAACAGTGTCTTTGGAGTTTTGGAGAATATGATTACTCAGTTGGAGGAGGATAAACATGACAAGAATGATGAAAATGAAGATAAGAATGAGGATGGAAAACCAGGCTCTACATCTGAAATACATTCTTCCAATGCCAATAAATATAAGTTGGAAGCAGAAGAAGAGTGCAAAATTGAGTTGAGCTCCCAGTCTGATTTATCATGCATTCACCCTGTAAGTAATTTCCATGAGAACTGTGCAGAATCACATCAAGAGGGAAGTAAGGGATGGAATGAAAATAAGCTCACTCAAAACCCTATCTCATCCTTCAATAACACTATTGCTGATTCAAATAGAATTAATCATGTCTACAAAGAGGACAAAAGGGAGAAGCATCATTTTTCTGGACCCAAATATTTGGTTTATAACTCAGATAAGGTTAGACATGTCTGTAATATTCCACTATATGTAACTGTAGATCCATATGGAGACTCAATGTACAATGAATACCTCCGTAAATATCTTCTTTCAAGGATTCCAACTACCAAATCACTAGATTTAGATACAACTACTGATCTATTGCTTGACTACTTTCCAGAAGAAGGTCAATATAAGCTATTGGATCAATCGGAAAACAATAGAAGTTATGCTGATGACGGAACAACTGATGTGGGCCTTGATGGAAACAGTCAGGCTATCCTATCGCCAGATCAAGCCAATGATACAGACACATTTATTGAGCCATCTTATGTAATTTTAGAAACTAAGAAAGAACAGGAACCAGTTGGAGAATATGAGACCATAAATACTTGTAATAAAAAGGATGAACTGATCCCTTCTAAATCCTTGGATCTAGTACAGTTAATTAAGAACATTATACTTGATTCTTTGAAGGTGGAAGTTGGTCGCAGACTTGGTTCACCTGATATGGAAGCAATGGAGTCCAATCTTGCCCAAGATTTGGAGAAAGTTGCAGATACAGTGTCTTTGGCAGTAGAACATAGCAAGGAGGTGAACTTGTGTTTGGAAAACAAAGATACTGCTTCAGGAAAGGTTGGCACTCTTGATGCAGAACATGTTATAAGAGCAATTTCCTATGCTGTTCAAGATGCTAGTTACTTGAGAAAAGTTCTGCCGGTTGGTGTTATTGTAGGTTCTAGCCTAGCTGCTTTGAGAAAATACTTCAATGTGGCTACACTGCATGATAATGATCATAGTGAAGCTGAAAACGTGAGGGAGAAGTTTTATGATAAAATGGTTGATGTAAGAGACAATCATAAATATTTTGACAAAAAAAATCAATATTTTGATATAGACAGCTCAGTAAGCAGTGGCAAGGAGAAAGGTGATGTAGAGAATGATGATAGAGTCATGGTTGGTGCTGTTACAGCAGCTCTGGGTGCATCTGCTTTGCTGGTACACCAGCAGGTAAAGTTATCAAAATCCTTCTCAACCTCTACCATAGCTTTCATATTCTCATTGTTGGTTCTTCTGTTCTCTTATGTGATTTTTTTTTATATGTCAGGAAGAGGCTCATCCATATAATTTCCACAAATTACTGTTAGTAGTAATTAATCAATTGCTATAAATATCATCCCAGATATGATCTTAAAATTCGATTTTCTTTGTATATCTCTATATGCAGATGGTTTAATTGGCACAAGGAAATTGGGAAATAGCCTTCTTTGCACATGAGCTGTGATGCTATTACAAAATCAGTTTATTCTGTTGATATATTTTTTTTCTTCCTTTTTATCAGAAATAGAACAACACAACTTTCACTGAAATCAGAGAAAAAGTAGAAAAGAATATAAGGGACTAAGGGAAGCCAGCAGCTTCCAACAAGCAATTAATCCTATAGTGTAGATAAAAATAAAATACACCCTACCCCCACTTGCCAGGACACCAGTACAAGGAATCCCTCTTAACCCCTTTCCCTGGCCACTGTATCTGCATGTCAGTTGGAAAGTCTCTGTGATGTTTACCTGAATGTAGATATCAAACTAGAGCTAGATATTGTGCGTCCCTGATGGAACATACATACATTCAAGGACAAGATATCCCCTCCCTGATCCATCCAATAACCACTTGAATGTCCATTGTCCCCTTCAATTTCTAACCTTGTGTATAGCCTAATAAAATGAACAATCTTAGCCCTTGGAGTAAGGACAATAGTTTATCCCTCACTGAAGGCCCAATCCCAATTGGACCCAACACCCAAGTAGAGTAGCAAGGTTCCACTTTGATGGTCTATAAATATCCTTCTTACACCTGAAGACCCCCAGTTTCCCAATCTACAACCATCAAACTTGAGTTTAATGAAGTTCAGTTGTGGAGGAGACCAAGATGGTAGGACTAATCCTCACTGTGTGGCCTTAAGTGTCTAAAACTCCAATTATCCAACAATTCCATTTCTTCCTGTCAAATTTCAGGTTTCTGTTTGTTGAGATACAGGTTTTGAATTTGACCAACATTTTTTTTTTGATAAAAGGTAGAGTAAAATTTTAGTTATTGAAAAAAAAATGATACAACAATACAGACAGGAGCTCCCAACTGAGGGGCCCCAGACACCACTCAAATTACATCCCAGCTACTAGGGAAGAACTGAGAGCCACTCAAACAACTTCATGAAAGAAACAGGTCAACTTGATACAGGGACCACAGAGGAGTGGTCATAGAAATATGCTTAGAGACTGAAGCCCATAAGACAATTCTGCCCACAGTTATGTTAATGAGTTCCTCCACAAATTTGCTCTTGACTCTAAAGGTTCTGCTATTCCTTTCAGACCAGACTATCCAAAGAATAGCCGCTGGTACCAGAGCACAAATGGTTTTTATCCTAGAGCTTCAGCTTGGGACCTGCCAGGCCTACAAGACTCCAATACTGAGCCCATTGACCAACTTAGGTTAGCTTATTTGAAGAAATGAGTCCAGTGCAGGAATTGATGACTGATTGACTCCAGCTCTCAACCACACATACCACAAGACTAGTCCTGGATCCACATCCCTCTTCTAGTTAAACTGTCCCTTGTAAGGCCTTTTCATAGAGCAGCAGACCAAAGAAAGAAGGTAATTTTGGACGACACTAACGAGTTCCAGATCAGCTTGCTGGGAAAAGTGACAATGGGCTGAGTTCTTCAGTCTGTTGCATGAACACACAATGAAACAGCCAGACTTTTCACCTTTCTGCTTTAACCAAATTTATATTCTGGAATTCCAATAATTGCATCAGTCCAATAGCACTCTCTACTTCCCAATCCTGTAAATTCCTTCAAAGTATTGGGGACCAAACTACTCGGGCCTCTTGTTCAGAGTAGTAATCTGACACTAAGCCTCCTTGTTTTTGGCAAACGGGTATAACTGTGGAAATGACTCTAGAGGGTGATCCCCACACTATCTGCCTTTCCAGAATCTGATTCTGTCACCTCTTCCCACCCTAATGGTTACCTCTTGCTAGAAATATGGACACACTTCCAAAATGCTTTTCCAAGCAGAGCATCCTTGGGATGGTAAGCAGTCACCCAAAACCCAGTTACCTCTGTCAACACCAAATTTACTTGCAATAAGCTTCCTCCACCAACCTTTACTTCTGTCCCATAATGCCATAACTGTTTGCTCAAAAAAGCCAAGGTGAAATCCTTGATTCTTCTAATTCCTAAATCCCCTTCACTTTGAGGCAGGCTCATCCTAATTTAAAACATATAATTTTTTCTTCTTGCCACCCATGCCAGAGGAATTCCCTTTTTAATTTTCTTTTTTATTTGGATTTCTGGACATTTGCTCTTAAAGCTTTCATGTGCTTAGTTTTAGTTGATATTATGTTTACAAGAAGTGTTCTTATGACGCTTACTGCAATAAATCTGGTAGTATCATTTTAAGCATTGTTTTATGTTTTTCAATGCCATTCTTTTATTGTTTTGGCTCTTTTATGTTATTATGTCAGATTTACTGCAGTAACTCTGATTGTAACCACTAATTGCAGATAAAAGAACCATATAAAAGTGGCAATATTTCTGAAGTTTCTTCCAGGTTTCCAAATGAAAAAGAGAACCATGAGGCAGAATGTGGTAAGTTTGAGGAAACAGTACCAGAAAAGAGCCAAAGCAATATAGTGAGTAGCCTAGCTGAGAAAGCCATGTCAGTTGCTGCTCCTGTGGTACCTACCAAAAGTGATGGTGAAGTGGATCAGGAAAGGTCAGCATCATGGCACTAGCACTTTTTTCTTTGAATTGTCTGTAATAATAATCTTTCTTCAAAATTTTAGATCACCTTCCAATTTTCTACATGTGAACAGGCTGGTCGCAATGCTGGCAGACTTGGGACAGAAGGGTGGAATCTTGAAGCTGCTTGGTAAAATTGCTTTGCTTTGGGGTGGCATACGTGGTGCTATGAGTTTGACTGACAGACTTATTTCATTCTTGCATATTGCTGACCGCCCTTTGTTTCAGAGGTAACAAAATTATAGCATGCTTATTTCTGTTTTTCCTTTTTTCTCTTGCTTTTAGTTTGATGAGAGAAACATTACTATTCCAATGAAAACACAAGAATACAACCACCAAATGTACCCAAGATGGAATCTCTCATAATAAGAAGCAGGCCATTCTATTGTTCCCTTGTCTTGTTCTTTCATGGATGAAAATAGAAAATACAGAGCTTGGATCTGATGAAAGCAAAAAGTGTGAACACACTGAGAGCACAGCATCCAGCCGCATATCGGGAGCATTCCCATACTTGTATATTAAGTTCATGGAGAGATGTCCCCATTGGATGCTATGCTCTCAGCATGTTCACATTTTTCTTTCACCAGATCTGTCTTTAAAATACAACCATCAAGCATACCCAAGATGGAAGCTCTCATAATAAGAGGCATGCCATTCTATTGTTCCCTTATCTAATTCTTTCACTCCATATTAAGCCGTAGTTGGTTTTTGGTATTTTTTTAATCTGATTTTCCTGGAGGCTCTAAAATATCCTCTGGTAATTATGTAGAAGAAGCCTTCATATGGGTATAGGGCCTATAGGCCCTCACTCTCTGATAAAAGATGGTGCACAATGTGCATCTGTTTCTATTCTAACTTACCCAACGAAGTTCCTACCATTTTGATTATCTAGTCTGATTATGTAAAAACCAGTCCCATCCCCATGCTCATTTTCCATCGAATTTATTTGATTTTTTAGTTCTGTATGGTAATAACGGAAGCATTGCGTACTTGTGAGAAACAGACAATGTAAACAGTGTAATGGATTCACAAAACAGATAAAATCATGGAAGAATCAGATTTGCTAACATGAAAGTTTAAAAATCAAAAGAACATATTGGATCTTCAAGAGTTTGGATTTGTAACTGTATCACATCTTAGAAGAGTTCGGACTTAAGTGGAAATTTAATAATCTTCGATTTTGTTTTGTTTTATGGGTATTTTCCATTACTTTTTTTAGTTATCTTTGTCCATTTTTTGATAGGCTAAGTAGAGGTTACTTACATTTAAAAAAAATGCAAGTTTTAGTTTCTATAGGATTCATTTGATTTTTTTCTTTGGATTTGTTTTTGATAGTGAGTTAATGGCATAGGATGGTACTAATATAGTGTATGTGGTGGGTAAAGAAACAAACCAGGTCTTATATAGAGGGAAATAGGAGAATATAAGGATTTCAGATTTGAAATATAGAACTATTAAGAAATGTTTAGAATCAAATGGTTTACAGATAAATAGGACTAAGAAAACATGTACTTCAATTTTAGCAATAATCAGGGTGGAAAAGCAGATATAGGATAAAATCAATTGCTGAGAGATGCCTTTTTTTGATCAATAATTGCTGAGAGATGCCTTAAGCAGTTATTTCTGCTGCCTTGGTTTGATAACCTTACAGTGAGGGAGAAATTGAAGAGAATGTTGCTTACATATTCAGAGCATGAAGTAGAGAGTAGAGAGGTGCTTCTGGAATCTTGTCCCTTTGACAAACCAATAAAAATGAAAGATATTTTGTAGGAAATAGACAAGTTCCTTATTCTGAACCCTGATACCTGCTTGTGTTTTAATATCCCCCCCCCCCTAACAAATTTCCTACTTTGGTTTGCAGAATTCTTGGGTTTATCTGCATGGTGCTTGTTCTATGGTCACCAGTAGTTATTCCTCTCTTTCCAACACTAGTGCAAAGCTGGGCAGCACAAAATTCTACTGGAATTGCTAAATATGCTTGCATCTTAGGCCTTTACACTGCTGTTATGATCCTTATTACGTTATGGGGTAAAAGAATTCGAGGATATGAAAATCCACTCAAGCAATATGGGCTGGATTTGACATCATCACAAAAGGTATGTACTTGGCCATAGGCATATACAAAAACAAAAATCAACTGAAAATCCTTGAATTAGGAAGTGAAGACTTTGTGTTCTGTATTATTAGTTTTTGTCCTGAAGGGCATTATAACCAACTGTCAATTGATTATAAGGTTGAATGTTGATAGTGTTCTATCAATTTTTTTTTTTTTTAAATAGTTATGTTCTATCAAATTTTGCAAATAAAAAATTACTTATTTCCATCTCCCCACCCCTAGAAAAATAAAGTGTGAGCTTAACCAGAGGTACCTAATGCATAACTAAGCACATGAATAATAACTCATGTAGGTATTTTGCATTTTGTTTATTGTTTCTTCAACAGCATCACCTGAAAGAAAGAATAAATAAGAAACCAAATGAGAACCAAATGAAATAGGAAAATAAGATAGATCAATGACACTGTTGGAGTTACTCTGTCTTTGCTTTTTATCAAACTCACTGTTTCTTATTCAGTTTATGTTTAACTTGAATTCATGAACTAATCACTGATGCTAGATCTTGTGTGCAGCTCAATGATTTTTTAATGGGTCTGATAGGAGGAGCAATTCTAATCTCATTGATGCACTATATAAACACATTACTTGGTTGTGCATGCTTGTCTTGGCCATTAGGACTGACTCCAGCATCACCAGATGCCATGTCATGGATCAAAGTGTATGCAAGGATGATAATACAAGCTTGTCGAGGAATTGTTACAGCAATTGGTATTGCCATAACAGAAGAACTGCTTTTCAGGTCGTGGTTGCCCGAAGAGATAACAGTGGATCTTGGTTATCACAGGGCAATTATTATTTCAGGATTTGCATTTTCTATACTTCAGAGGTATGCTCTTATATGACATTCCATTTTTTGTGAAAGATTTGTCTCTATATTTTATGTAGCTAGAAAAATTTATTAAACAGGGGTCATCTTGGGTAATACCAGATAATTATCATTTCAGGATTTGATTTTCTATACTTGGGAGTTATGTTCTTGTATCTTCGGTGCTTTTGGATTGAATGTAGTAGGTAATTAAAAACCTAATTAATGGGGGTCATTTGATAATACATTATTTTTATCATCATCATCTAAGCCTTCTCCCAACTATATGGGATTGGCTACACAAAACCTTTTCTGCCACTCTGTCCTGTTTAATGCCATATCCATTGTTAAATTATGAACCCTTAAATTATTTCTTCCTACTTCAACCCATATCCATTTTTGTCTGTCTCTGCTCTTCTTGCCCCCTCAACTTGTAAAAGATCACTTCACAAGTGCTGTAGATGATTCCTCTGCACATGACCTAACCATCTTAGTCTGCTTTCCCTCATTTTTTCACCTATTGGAGCTACTCCTAGGTTCCTTCAAATGAGTTCACTTCTGACCCCCGTCTTTTCTAGTTCATTTGATAATTATATTTCAATAAAACAGAAAATATTTACAATAAAGTGCAGTGGGGAATGAATGAGAAAAATAAGATATTTCTTTTGCTGTTCAATGCATGTTTAAAGATGATACTTGGTTCTTTGCACCTTTGACGTTTCCATTAATGATTTAACATGGTTGTGGACTACATAAACAAAAGAACTTTCTTACAAGCCCAAGTTCCACTCCACCTTTTCTCTATCATTTTCCTTGCATGTTCTTTAATATTCCTGAGTTCGTAATCTTTCCATCCATCCTCCCCTCACAGGTGGTATTTTGGTTGAATTATCTTTTAGGGGTTGCAGTTTATAGGCCCATGGGTCTAGACTAGAGTTAGGGCTATGAAGGGCCTTATTTTTTATACCATGTCCAGCCTGGCCTGATCTTCAGCTAATAGTGGGCTAGGATGGGGATGGGTAATTAGGCTTGTCCCCGACATAGTATCCATGTACCATACTATACATGGAAAACTGCTTTCTAATTGTGTCATTAGGAAAGCTTCCTAGACAATCCCATCCCTTTCTACTGCATTGTGGAATCCAATGGCTGATCTGAATTGCCATTGAAGATATCCCCCCCCAAGCTATAATGTTCATTGCAAGAGTAATCCTGCAATTACCAGCAACAGAAACATAAATTTTATTAAAAGAGGTAAATTTACATCTCTTGAGTAGCCTCAGCCACCCCAGTAAAACTTAAGTCAACAACAGAACATTTTCTTAGAATCACAATTGAGCCCAGAAATAATGCCCTCTATTAACCCCTTGCTAAACTAATTGATCTGCTAAGCAGTTTGCTGATCTAGGAACCCACTGTATAACCACTTGCATCTTTACCATTATACCTTCGATCAAATTTTCTTGACTTCTATTTTTCTCAAAAAATCCCAGGTTTCTTTCTTTCCAAATTGTTCAAATCACTGCAGCTCTTGTGTAGCTCCAAAGTAATCTTCCCCTTTTTTTCGTCCAATTGAAAGTAGGGGGATTAAACAATCTGTCCAAACTAATTGGAGTGTTCCACCTGCAACCAAATAAAGAAAAAACCAATCCCAAGCATAGCAAGCAAAAGAACAAGAAATGAAAAGGTGATGGGCAATTTCACCATTTGATTCACACAGAACACACCAATTTGGGGATAGGCACCAGCCATGTCTCCTCCTTTGTAATAAGTCGCTTGTGTTGATTGCACCATGGAAGACTTCCCAACAAAAACACTCACCCTGGGGGGATTGGATGACACCAAGCTTCTTTAACTGGGAACTCAAAGGAGGATGAGAAGAAACCAACACTCCAAAAATTATCAAAAAAAAAAAAAAAAAAACCAACACTGTAAAAAAGGAAGCACAAGTGAAAACCCCTGACGGATGACCAGTCCACAATTTGCTATCCACTTTACTGTTATCAAGAGAAACCCCATCCAGCAATTGTAACAACTGTGACACAAGACCTACCTCTGAATCCCACACATTCCTGGAGTGCACCCTGCATTTTGAGGAATATGATGTGTAGTTGCTGAATTATGAATTGTCCAAGCAAAGGCTTATTTTGGCAATTTACTGAGGTAAAATTTAAATTGCCCTATGATTAGATAGAAGAGAAAGAAGCCTGTAGGATGAAAACAAATTGCCACATGGAAGATTTCTGGATTCTTTGACCCCACTGAACCACACTGGTGGCAAACCTGTTTCCTTCACATAGCAAGCAACGCTGGGGTGCATCACCCTAGTATCAGCGCCAGCTCACCATTTTCTGTCCGGTGCTGAAATGAGGGAGATGCACCTTGCTGTTGTTTATAAGAATTATACAAAAATTCATGAATATTATTTATAAAACGTACTGAAAGTAGGCAATATTTACAGCCTAGTTAGTGGGCTCGTATGCCAGTGGCCTATCTGGGGGGTTGGCAGATCTATGGATGGGCCTAGGTCGCCTGGCCTGTTCAGCTCAATATCTTTTTTCATTCTTTTTGTTAGCCTAAACTAAAATAGCCCGAGCCTGATCCAGCCAGGCAGCCACACAAATTCTTTATCTTTTTTCTTTCCCATTCTTCTTGCGTTCTCTCTCTGTCTTTGCCTTTGAATTTTAATATCGATTATTATGTTCCAATCATAATTAATCTAAAGTTTTTTTTTTCCTCTTGACGGAATTGTAGGTCTCCCCGCGCCATACCAGGGCTATGGCTGTTATCTTTGGCTCTGTCTGGGATTCGGCAAAGAAATGATGGTAGTCTCTCCATTCCAATTGGGATCCGTGCAGGAATGTTGGCTTCAAATTTCATTTTACAGACAGGTGGCTTTTTAGCATACAATTCAAATTCTCCCCTCTGGTTAACAGGGTCCTATCCTTACCAACCATTCAGTGGAGCTGTTGGTCTAGTGCTATCCTTGTTATTAGCTTTAACTTTCTATCCACGGCAACCTCTTCGGGAGAAAAAAATTTCGGGGGCCATCCAAGAATAGATTCAGAAAACATTCATCTGAATTCTGCACGTTCTCTGAGTATGACATAGTGGATGAGAGCATACCAGGGACGATTTTCTGACTGTACACTAGTGTACACCTTTGTAGCTCTGCGGGTTCAAGCTTATGGGTTGATACTTCCTTCGGCCAAGCCTGTGATCGTGCACAGTTTCGAGAAGAAATTGAGGCAATCCTCCAAGGAAAGCTTTGTACAAATTGCCCCCATTACATGTAAAAACTTTGGCTGTGGTCTGTTTCCCAGCTTACTGCACACCATACCTAACTCAGGTCCTCGCTTATTGAAAATATTCTTTTTGTCCATACTCATGATAACGTGTAAATGTGTAATGCGCAGAAGGGTTCCCAAATAGCCAGAGTTCACCCTACATAAGAGTGCATCTTCGTAAGTTCCGTACAACTTGCAACGAACAAGAAAATGGATGGGATGCATGTCTGTTCAACTTTCTCTTCGTAGATTCCTACAGTCAGCAGTTATGTCTCACACATTTTTATGTGGAGTGGTCAGTAGCAGTGTCCACCAACAGGAAAGAAATGAAAGTAATACAAATACAATTGCAAAATATGCAGTGTAAATATACAAGGTTTTTCACTCTATAATCTATATATTTATTTTTGCATTCTGCATTTTGTATTATTTTGCATGTATATGCACTGTATATGCTTTGTATTTATACTCTTTAACTCTTAAGAGAATTACTCTCCAAGATGAAATCAGATGGGCCAATCTCCAGAGCAAATACAAGTGCATCCTAGTTCCCAGATAGCAAAAGCTTCAACCTCCAAGGGTGAGCTAACGTGGAAGGAAGCACGATTAAAAACAAAATGGTCTGAGTCATTTTTATCATGGTTTTCAAAATTGGACCGGACCGGACGGTTGGACCAGAAAAATTGGGAACCGGTGACCGGTTCCATTTTTCCCAAAAACCGTTGATTTTGATCAGCGAACTGCTGAACCAGGTGGTTAATTGTTCGAATCATTCAAACAGTTTTGACCGTTTTTTATTTTTTAAATTATTTTATTTTATTGTCAGAATGAGCTGAACGTTCGGTTCAAACAATTGAATCGTTTGACCCGGTAACCGGACCTTTGACCGATTCGGTCTCCAGGTCAGTTTTAAAAATCATGATTTTTAGTGACAATACCTGCAGAGGCTGCAACAGCCTTCGAAGAGCTCTAGTCACAGAACATTGATCTTCAAGACAAGACGTTAGTTGGGGGCTTGACCCAAGTAACAGTGTATCTGTATCCACAACCCAACGACGAGCTAGTCACAGAACTAATGATGCTTAAATGGTTGGCTCTCAAAAATGGGTTTGTTGGAAGTGCAAGTGATTTATATATTATAATATATCCCACATTAAAAAGAAATAAGAAGTGCAAGTGATTTATATATTATAATATAAACTTTTACGTTAAAGATGATATATATTTCTTTCTGTCTAATTTTACTTCTACATACTTGTATGAACTCTCCAGTTTTAGCAACTCCCCTCAATATACAATAAATGGGTATTCATTAGTGTATTATAATGTCAACGAAACTAGTGGGGGAAAAGTGTTGCACTTTTCCCAAACTGAGCCTTGTTTTCTTATATAGTCAGTTCTGTTCCAGTTCTTGCTTCCTTGATGCTTAAACATCATCATTGGTTTTGTTTATACTTTATTAGGGTATTGGTAACGATATTTTTAAAACAAGACTTGGCATTGAAACTTAAAGGGGCCAATTCAAGCTTGTCCCAGTTTAACTAAGCGGTTGAACCTCGAAAGCGCCTGAATCGTCCGGTTCACTGAACCAGATTGGTTCCTGATTTTCTGGTCCAGTTCAGTTCAAACGATTAACCTGGTTTTAGAGTATCAGCCATTAAAAACCATACCAAATGTAAGCATATTCGTGTCTTTCTTCAGCTGCACGGATGTTCAGTGAAATACCAGATATGAAAGTCAAAGCTGTGATTAGGATCTTCATTGTACTTGTTTACAGCAATAGAATTTTGTAGATTCTCCTGATGGACAGGATGAACGTTCACAATCAAATCGATATTATCACCTCAGAATTTTGGTTCCCCTCAGAAGTTAGAATTGTGTGATCACAATTGCAAAATTCTAAACTTTAAAAATGTAATAATTCAGTATTTGAACTTTCAAAATGTGACAATTTGGTATCTGCCGTTAATCAGTTCATTAATCAGCCATTAAGTGGCATTTAAAAATTAAAAAATGTTCATCTAATTCTCTTTATCAACCATCCAAACATCAACAAAAAACTGAATAATTCCAAATCCTAATATCTTCTATTCAAAAAAGTTGTAGCTGTTTAGAAGAATCTAAAATTTGAGACTGTTTATTTTATTATCAATGTTTAAATGGTTAGATGGCATTGTTAGGACATTTTTGATTTTTTAAATGTCACTTAATATCTAATTAACAGACTGATTAACGGCAAATACTTAGATTGTTATATTTTAAAAGTTCAGATATTAAATTGTCAAATTTTAAAAGCTTCGATACTGAATTATTACATTTTAAAATTCAGAAACCAAATTGTCACACGAGAAATGATATGTTTATGTCAGGACAAGGACAGAATTCAGGGTAGATCTCTGTAGTTTATCGAAGAACCTACGCAGGTTATTGACCTTATCAGAGCGACGAGGCTAAGGTGCAATGCTAGTTTCCAAACAAGCTTAAAACTCGTAGGCGTTTGAACAGGTTGGAGACATGGAGTGAAATATTGATTGAACCTGATAGCGAGATGCCTATTCGTCTACACAGCCTCTGATATCTCGTGCTGAAATAAATTGTTTCAAAAATCAAAATTGTTATTTGTATATCAATCGGCTTGATAGAACACAGTAACTAGCTCACTAAGAATTGTTGTCAAACTATATAGTGTAATTTATGTCAGGTAAACGATATCTGGGCTTCTTGCCCCCACTGGTATTCTTTGATCACCGCTATTCATACTTACCCAAAGAAGATCCGATAGAATTTGGATCACTGCCCCAAACGGGCAAACAGAGCACCAACTTGAGAATATTTTTTTTACTCTCCTCTAGTTATAATTTAGATTTTTACTGGATTTACGTGATTCATATAGCCTTATAGAGTTGTAGCGGCAAGGCCAATGAATTGAGGATTAGGAAAAAAAAAAAAAAAAAAGAATTCATCAAGGATTAAGGATAATTTGCCTGCATTACATTGATAACAGGAATATAACTACAGACTCTAGACCTAGTACAAGGAGGGACGAAGCCAATCGACTATGTAATTTTAGGTATATACAGGAGGGTCGCCCATCGTGACGAAAATGGCTGTGCAAAAAAGGATTCTCTAATCACCACTACTAGTGTACTACTGTTGAAAGCAAAGAGAGACAGTGAGTCAGTAGACTACACTTAAAATCTCAAGTGCTACAAATACAATTGGTTTCTCAAGAGTCAAGATATGGTGACTTCAATGGTCTTGGACTTTGGGGGTGGGGGGAGCTTCTCCACCGTCACCGTCAAAACCCCATTATCGCACTTGGCTGAAATGGTGGAAACATTGGAACCGTCAGGTAGCCGGAATTTTCTCGTGAACTTGGGGGATGCTCTCCTTTCCAGCCGGATATACTTGCATCCCTCCTCCTCCTCCTCACGTTTCCTCTTTCCATTACTTCGTATCACAAGAATGCCCTCATCTTCAACCGTCACCTGCAAACCATTTTTTCTACTTTATTTATCAGACAATACACAAAGGCAGCAACGGCAATAACCTCTCGGCAAAATCAAGACGCCGACCAACTAACAAATTCTTCCTAAAAAAAAAAAAACGCATTACATTTGTGCTTTTCTGATCTCTGATTTCTATTTGGCTCTGCCCAACAACCGCAGAGCCAGTGCTTTTCTGATTTCGATCGACAGGTTGTAATCAGCACACCACAGACTGCTGTTATGGTTGGATGAAAATTGAAACTCAACCATTTCATTTCACAAGAGTATTCCTCTTTCAAGTTTCAAATTTTAGATACCGAAGCTACGGGATAGAAGAAATATTTACCTGAATATCAGACTTCGACAAACCAGGCACGTCCATGTAGAATATGTACTCCCTGGGAGTGTCAAGGACATCAACGGGAACCGCAGCCATTCCTTTAGATTCTTGGTTGTCATGGGACCGTAAAGGGAATACCAACTTCTCAATACTTTCAGGGAAGTTAAGCAGCTGATTTACCGCAGAAGCCAAATTTCCGTTGAGGTAACTCGAATCTGCCACTGGACTCATCCTGGATTTTCAGAAAGAAAGTAAGGCAACCTGAGGATCAAAAATCGACTGAAGCCCGTTTAGCTGAAGACTGAAGTGAAAGACACAAGTCACTCGGTACAGGGGGTTAGGGTGAAATTGCAATCTCAAAGCTGGTTCAAAATCGATTAAAATCCATAGAAACAGGAAGGCCTAAACAAAACATCGAACCTTCCGCAGAGGAATCCGGATTTCGTCCTAACAAAATTCCCCAGATAACATGACAAAAACGATTCCCTATAAACCCCAAATGTTGTCAAATTCGAATGCCTCGTGTAAAAGAAACCACTGCTAGCCAAAAAAAAAAAAAAAGTGTACAAGAAAACCACTATAAATCACAGAAAAAGTAAACGCTACAAATTTACAATAACAGAATGCCGGTAAAGAAATACAAATTTGCCAAGTTGGAAAAAACGTTACAAAACCGAGGCATATAAACCCTCACCTCTGAAAATGTAGGTTCGTTCTCAGATCAGACGACTATTTGCTGGAAAACAGAATTGTTGATGGTGCTAATTGCGAAACGATGCTTAGATGATCTGAAAGGGGATAGTGAGGAACTGATTAAAAGGATACACAGGAAAGTTCGAGAGAGAGAGACGATCAGAAGAGAGAACGATCCAGAAGAATCCCGCCTCTCGTTGCTGTCGCACTTACACGTATGCATGCATCATAACTTTAAGTTCATACTTCATACGGTTTGGGCCATTCTATTGGGCTTATCCAATTATAAAGCCCAAATGACATACTTTCCCGCATGGTTTTCGAACCGCCGTTAATTCGGACGGTCGGAACGTTCGGTCCGAAAATCATTTAGACAATCGATTCTGTATTACTCCAAATCTGATACTTCGGTTTTTTTTATCAAGTGGTCGAACCATCAACCTAAAAACCGGTGACTAGAATAATTCTATTTCTGGGTCATTTTTTAAAACCATACTTTCCCGTATCATAACTTATGTTTAATTGTTTTTATGGATCAGACATTAGATGTAAATTTTGAAGCTGAATTTCTCAAATTAAATATGAAAATGAAAAGACACTTTACAAATTTGGGAAGACGAACAAAACCATGAACAGACAGGTTAATTGGCTCACATTCTAGTTACTTATTCTGTTCAGTATGGTTTCAAAACATTGGAAGGTTTAAATATTTAAACAATCTAGTTACTTATTCATTCTCCTTTGCACTTGGCTACTATAATGTTTAAATATTAGGGTTTGGTAGTATTTTCAGTATTATCATCAATAATAAAGGCTATCCAAGAAAATTTTGAGGACATTGTTGGTCCATGTATTTTCCAACTGGACTGTACTTACTATGACAGCAGTCGCCAATATTAGAATTTTGGTCTTTTTTTCCTTCTTTACCCTTTTGTTTGTTTGTTTTAATTCCATTTTTTTTATTACATTGGACAAATGGGAAAGTGATACTTACTAAAGTCTATTATATAGGTATGATCATGGGTTGGGTGAGGTTTTCATAGGGTATAGGATCCTTTTGAGTTGTCCAAGCTGTATGCTTTTTGCAGGCCAGGCTGGGCATCTAGGCTTGCATAAGCCAATGAAGTTGAATCTTTTATAAAAATCAAAATTTAACCTAAAACGTAGATAATTCTTGTCAATAGGGCGGAGTTGAGGTGGAAGGACGAAGTCGTGCAATGGAATCTGCGAACAAGAAAATGTCAGAGGCCCGAGGAGTTATCCTCAGGTAGATACTCCGATGCTCAAGTCATTGGAGGGCAATAAGTAGTCAGGCCGAGTAGTTGGAGAACAATGCTAGTTCGAGCAGTATAACAGTATGAGAAATTGGAATCCTTTACCTCGAGTGGAGAGTACCTTTTTATAGCTGAAGATTCGTGTCCTGATTGGATTAGGTTTTTGGGGTTGTCAGGATGAGCCATGTGGCACGTGTTACCCAGAACCAATTCAACCATGACCCGAACATATATAATATTCAAGCTTTTATTGGAGACTAGAGGAGAATTATTTTCCCTTTCAACAATTGTGTGATTTGTAATAGTCCAAGAGGTTGTAATTCAATGACTCAAATATTAACATAATATGCCAATTTATGTACAAGAAGGCCTCTCCCCCTTCTTTCATTGTTGATCATTTGGGGAGAGATTTGTAACTTGATGTTTTTCGTGAATGTTATTAGCTTGAGGGCTTAAAAAAATGCAACATAATGTTTTTTTTTTCTTTTGTTGGTTGGGACAAAGGATGTTTTTTTTTTTTTTTGGTATTAAAGGGTCAAGGATTGTATGGAAACATTATCTGTGACAACATTAGGTTATGTTTGGTTCAATTCTTATTCTTACCTAAGATGAAATTATAAAATAGATAAAAAATGGGTAGAATGAGAAAATATTACTATAGACCAAACATTTTTTCCTCAAAAATAATTTCTTTTCAAACTGACAAGTGCCTTATGTTGCTCATTTTCATTCTTAGAAAAATGTTGTAATGGTCATAAACCACTGGCCTAGGTCTTAGAAAAATATTTATCAGTGGATGCCCAGCCTTTAATGCAAGTAACATGGTGTAGGGAGAAGAGCATAATTGATATGATTCTCCCATGCGTCGTACGTGGGGCCCATTATTCATGTATCCCCTAAAGTTTGAAGGCTGCCACAAGATGGGAAAAAAGACAATTGGGCAACCGCAGCTATATATTATCACCTAAGATTTAAAAAATCAATATGATACGCCCTATATCGGATATATCGTATCATATCTTTTGGGTTCTGAAACATCTGTTTTGAAACTCACCCTTTTTTAATTCCCAAAAAACCAAAATTAAAAAAAAAAATAAAAAAATTAATTCCGTGTGTATATAAGTACCGATAAGCCTCTGGCAATACGCAGAGGCGTATCGATACTTTGAACCATATTACCACCGTAATTCTAAATTAAACCCAGAAATGTGCATGGGAGATGCTCATGTGATTTGATCAAAGTTAAGAATGGCAACTGGGTTAGAATTTAGAAATGCCAAGGACGAAGTTGGGCGTGGGCCTCCATTCGACGTCGAGGCCCACTATGAGGTACGATAACGATGCATGATGGTCGTGAATTCGTGATCGATCCATCAGTTGACAGTGGTGCTACTGGTATGGCCTGGTGTGACGACTGACGAGCGAGAGAAGTTGTAGGATGGATTGGTTGGCGGCTGGGTTAGATTTTCTATATATTCATAACCAGGTTATTTGGGCCTCCGTTGGACGTAAAGGCGTATGTGGTGTTAGTGTGGTACGTTGTGAATTGTAATGGATAAAATGGTCATTTCGTACCTTCCATTCTTATATCTCTGCTGTCTACAACATAGAAACAGAGGTGGTTCTTACCTTCTTGGCAGTTGGGATCGATATTAGATTTTTTTTTGGAAGCCTAATAAATCGAATTTCTTTCAGTAACATGCTCCGATATATACAACCCAAATAAGTAAAAGCCCAAGCAAAATGATTATGTCAAAATTAGAGGAATAAAAGCTAAACCTACCAGGCTACCATAAAAAATAGTAGTCCAATATTCTAAAACATGGAAACAGTCAAATTATTGAGTATTATGAGACATTTGCAAGTGGTGTTGAGTATGGTTTTGGAATCGCCGTTGACCTGGAAGGTTGGATTGTTTGGCTCAGAAATTGTTCAGGCAATCGGTTTCATTTTATCTCAAACCTGGTCCTTGGTAAAAAACCGTTGAAAAAGTCAATGATTCGTTGATCCGGGTGATTGAACCTTTAATCCATCAACCCGTTCAACAATTTTGACTATTTTTTATTTTTAATTATTTTTGTCAAAAAATACCGTCCGTTTGAAGCGGACGATCAGACAATCAACCCGGAAACCGATGGCCAAAAATGAGTCGTGTTTTAAAACCATGGTGTTGAGTTTGATCTCATGAGCTCAGCTTGAGTTATATAACATGTAATAGTGGAGAGTGATGATAAAATTTTGGTTGAAATGATCAATAGTTTGATCTCATCTCCATGCATGCATGGATCATTCAAATTTCAATTATACCCTCTTCAAGATTGAAGATTTGGTCTCCTCTACAAATATCACTTTCAGTCAGGCTTTCTATGAAGCTAACAAGTCAGTCAGTTAATGGTTGAGAAAATATAGGTATTATAAATTTAATCTCACTGAATTCCTTGAAAGAAGCAGAATTTTGGTTATAGAGGATTGAATCGATCTTGGATATAGTAATTAAAGTTTTATTTCTGTTTTGTTGTGTTTGCTTGTATTGGACTGGGATGAGTGTGTGAGGGAAGGACTTGTAATCTCAGGTTTTGAGGCAAGGTGGTCTAAATCCTCCATTGTTCTCTGTTCTATCATATTCGTTTTTATTAATGAAAAAACTTTTAGATGGTCGCCCCTCTGGCCTCTACCTAGAGTTAAGTTTAAGGGTTAAAAAAATGACATTGAGTTTCTCGAGAATGGCCGAGAAGTCTTCATCCTACTAGAAAAATTGAACTTGGAGATATGCATGAGACAATTAATTAATTGTCCATCCAATATTGTGTGTAGCCACAAACTTTAGTGCATATAGAGGGGTGGCCATCTTAAATTTATTTATTTATTATCTTATTCAGTTTGCTTCCACGTGTGTAAACGGAGTGCAGTATTTTGCAGTGAGAGTACTGCGTGCTGTAATTATTTGGATTTCGGGAGTGCATTGAAAAAAGTGACGCCTAAAGAAGAAACAACGAACAAGACAATATGGAATTAAACTATTAAAGCGTAGGAGTTGGTGAATGTGGTCAGTTAGTTGACTGTGCATCAATGCACTGACACCCTTTTTATTTCATAATAATAATACTAAAAAAAACCAGAAAAGGAAAATTGTCTAAAACTAGGGCTCTGGATTCGAGCCGAGTCGAGCTGAATAGTATCAGGCTCGAGTTCGGCTCAATTCGGCTTGTTTTATATTTTATAAAATTATTTTAAAAAATAAAAATTATATATATATATTTTTTTATTTTATATTTAAAAAATTAAGAATTATAATATTTTTATTATATATATATATGTATATTCGAGTCGGCTCGCGAGCCTTACGAGCCGAACTCTAATAGGCTCGAGCTCGGCTCGTTTAATAATCGAGCCACTGAATTGGGCTTGAGCTCGGCTGAAACCAAGCCAAGCTCGAGCAGCTTGTGAAAAGCTCGGCTCCTTGCCACCCCTATCTAAAACTCACCATGGGTTTTCAATATTTCTCTTAAACTCACCACAACTTTTCAAAATGTCTAAACTTCACCATGTCATTAAGTTTTTATTTTCCAAAACTCACCTTCCGTTAGTGTACCGTTAATGCTTCTTAACAGAGGTTTCCATGTCAGCATAAATAATAATTTTTATGACCAAATTACCCTTGAATGGTGAGTTAGTGGAAAAAAAGTGTATTTCAGTTTTCAATTTGTTTTTTGCATTTTTAGTGTTTTGTTATAATTTCCAATGTTTTTTATAATTTCTGTTTTTTTTTACATTTTTCTATTTTCTACAATCTATAAATTTTCTTGTACTTTTTGTTATTTATTTGCAATTTTTGTGTTTTTCTATAATTTTTGGTGTTTTTGCTTCAATTTTTATCTTATGATTTTGTTTTTCAATTTCTATAGTTTCTATAATTTGAAAATAATTTTTTATTTTGTTTGAAATTTCTATAATTTTTTATATTTTTTGTAATTTCTATGTTTAATGTATTTTATATTTGAAAATAGTTTTTTGAACTTTTTCCTTTTTTCATGTCTAAATACTAAAATGGTAATATATTAATACTCATTAATTTATTTTTTGTATATATTTTATATTTTTCTATGAAGGTTAAAATGATAATATATTAACACCCATTAGTTTGTTTAACGTCAAGTTAGTGACATGGTGAGTTTTAGACATTTTAAAAAGTTGTGGTGAGTTTAAGAGAAATGTTGAAAACTCATGGTGAGTTTTAGACAAATTCCCTCCAAAAAAATGAATTTGGTGTAGTTGAAACATGAAACATCTTACACTAATGATTTCACCAACTAATTAATTAAACACATCACATGCTTCAACACTACATTTCCTATATGCATATGCATCGATAAGTAGGAAATTGCAGTTATATTAGTAGCAGTTAAGGCGTGTGCGCCCTTGAATTTGGGGGAATAAATCATGTATGGTTATAGTTAACAACAGTATCCCTAAACCCTAATCAGTCATAGGCAAGAGTAGAGGTGAGCATTATTCGGTTAAAACCGAATAATCAAACCGAAAATTTTGGTTTCGGTTTTTTCGGTTTAAAACGGTTTTGGAATTAGAATTTCGATTAACCGAATTAACCAAACTTTTTATTATTATGTGTAATATATAATATATTATATATTTATATATTAATTAATAATATACTGAAATTTGATTTTATAATATATAATATATTATATAATAGAGTATATATTATTAAAATTCAGTTTTAACCGAAATAACTGAAGACTGAACCGAAAATATTAGTTTTGGTTATTTCGGTTTTTCTAAATTCCGATTCCGATTTTGGTTTTGGTTTTTACTTTTTATAATTCGGTTTTTAAAATTTCGATTTATTCGATTCGATTTTTAAGTGAATAAACCGAATGCGTACCCCTAGGCAAGAGTCATGACACTGTTTAATTAATATTTAACAATAGCATATATATATAATTGATGAAAAAGTAAACTAATTAGAGTCGATAGACATTGGGATATGTTTGGGCCCACGTACATACATTTCATTTATTTTAATTTCATTGTGCACATCCAACTTGGAATTTATATATGCCACAATTAAATGATTGTTCATGTGTGTGTGTGTGTTAGAGTTTTGGTTTAATTGGCTATGTTTTGAAGAAAGGGATGAGTAATAAGTAATAACAGCTGTCTGCATGCACCATGTTGACGGTGCTAATTAACATGCAAAATCCAGTTGAATCAAGCTAAGAGATTAAGGCTGATGAAAACCTCACCAAGACTGACCCACACCAATTCACACCAATTAGGTTTAGGTGTTTACCATATAATTATTGATCCAGTACTGAATACTGAGTACTGATGGAGGTTGCCCATCTAGTAATATTTGGTGAAAAATCCAAATTGATCGACCATCCTATCTTTATTTAAGCCAATTGGAAGACTATATCAGTTAATTTAGGGTGGATTATTATTCTTGATATTAAAGCAACTGAGCTGAGCCTGAAGTACATGCATATACAATAGTGAAATGGGACATCGGGGCGGGGGTATTGAGCAATGCTCATGATCAGTGTGCGGATAATATAATAGCTTCCGATCCAATATATACTTTTGGCAGCTTGCTATCTTGCACATGTCTGTCGCTTTCGCCATTAACAATTTTCACTTGCAGATGAAATGACACAGTGGCCGGCCGGGGTGAGCTTTTATCCTCCTTATCCCATATATAAAATAATTCCATTTACAGGGGAGGAACGAGGAATCTACCGCTGCGGGCGGTTAACCAGCTAGCGACCAACAACCAACCACGTAAGACTTGACAAGTTCAGAAATGTAATAAAACAATCTTAGCAACATTTGTTATTACACAACACTCCTCCAATCTCCAATCTCCAAACGACGACTATATATAAATCTACAGATTATAATTAGATACGTCTGTCCATACTGCGGAAATAAAAGCCCACCAGGCTTGACTCAAGTGGCTTGTCTATTTGCATTATTGCTTATTGAGTGTTCTGATCAGATTATATATTAAGACTAGAAAGCAAAGGAGAACCAAATTAATTAATAGCTAGAATGACGCAGGGGGGTAATAACTGCGTTACGTTAATATAAATAAAAAAGAAGGAGCGAGCAGAACAGGACCATCTTTAATTTGAAGTATCTAGAGTTGTTGTATATGCAAGATCCATTCCAAGAGTCAAAAGTCCAAGCACAGTGCTGCTGCTCTGTCTGCCTGCCTGCTGGTTTAGTATGCCACTGATTCCAAGTTGTTATCATCTTACAATGGGCCCCCCACGTCTGCTCCATCTATTTCCCTTTCCCTTTCCCTTTCCCTTTTGGCCTGTTAAATAATTCCGCCCGGCCCCCTTCTCCATCCCCAGATGCCAGAAACCAGAGACCAGATACCCCCATTTATTTATTTATTTTTATTATTATATATATACCAAGCTAATTAGCTCCTGTTTCTCAGCCCAAGCCCAACGCAGCACTAGCTAAGGCAGCTACTTTAATTTAGCAGCTATTAGACTACTAGCTAGACATACCATCTTCTCTTCCTCCATTATTCCCCTTTCTCCTCTTTCTGACTGAGAGCAATTGCAACCAGAATCTTATTTTCACACTTGCTCTTTTTCAATATTACCAATATTGCATTTGATCCTTTTAATCAGACTTGTCAGTCATCTTGGCCTTTTAAGCCTGAAAGAACCTCAAATTAAACCACCTGGAACTGGAAGAAATGGCTACGAAAGGCAGTAAACTAACGAAGCTGAAATCAATGTTAAAGAGATGGCCGTCGATGAGCAGGATGAGTAGTCGCAGCAATAGCAGTAATAGCATCAGCAGGTCGTCCTCTGTAGTAGCCGCCAATCCCGTCGTGGAAGACGATAGTTACAATTCGGTGCTGTCGAGTAATAATAATGATAGAAACAATATTGTTGGGGATGAGCATGAGGATGAGGAAGGGCTACAAGCAGTATATGTGGGGAAATCACGGCGGAGGTACTTAGTCAGCTCCCAAGTCATCGATCACCCATTGGTGCAAGTGCTGGCGGGCAGGTCGTCGGACGGGATGACGGTGGAATGCGAGGTCGTACTGTTTCAGCACTTGCTCTGGATGCTGGAAAACGCTGACCCACAACCGGATTCGTTGGACGAGCTCGTCGACTTCTACGCATGTTGATTTATGAATTTCCGATTCCTAGCTAATTGATGATGATACATGCATAATGGGTAGTGAAAGAATGACCAAATCAATCACCATTCACCACGACCACGACCACGACACAGATACTTATATATATATATATATATATATATATATATATCCCATCCCATGTATCATTTAGGCTCATCATATCCCGCATTCATCCTTAATGTTGTAAATCTAAATTTATTTGTTCCTTCTTCTTCTTCTTCTTTATCCCTTATCCCTCATATGTAGTAGCATGGCATGATTGAAATAAATTATAGCTCCATTAATTTGAAGATTTAAATGATCCATTTTGAAGAACGAGAGGATTTTAGCCAGATTAATTATTGATGTCTGGTGGTGTATGTTTGACAAGGCATTTGTACGTGTGCCGCCGGCGCCGCCCCATTCGTCTACCAATATTAAATCAGGACAGAAAAGTTACAAAGTGGTGCGCACAGATAAGGATAAGGCGGCGCTACTTATTAGTAAGGATAAGGCGCCTCATACTCCGGGTTTTTCCCGACGTTCTCTCTTTTTTTGAGAGAGCTTCTGTCCTTACGGTCCTTGCGTTCTTTCCTTCTTTCCGTTTCATTTTTCCACTCTCTTCTTGATTAATTCGATCCAATCATCTATTCTTTTTTGTTTCTTCTCGTTTTTTCCTTTTTTTTTTATATTTTCTTTTCTTCTTTTTTGTAAATATTTAGTACATAAGGAGATGCGCTGATTTATCTCTTCTGTTGGTGGTTAAACTTTAAGTTAGTTCTAATTTCGACGACGGTTATGATTCTAAATTTTTAAATTTCTTTAGTTCCAGTTCAATAAAGTTCCGGTAGTTAAAGTTAATGACGAATCACTACTATATTTATCCCTTTCTTTCCGTGGTTGAAAATGCTCTCATTTATCTATTGGTGGTTCTATCTCACTTTTTGTATATTACAGAAATTTTTTCATTTTCTCCTTTATTTATTGTGAATATTTTGTTCTTTTTAGAGACTATTTTTGCTTGATACTGTTATCATTTTTTATATATTTTCATTATAATGCTTATATACTTTCTTACTTGGTACTGTAACTAATACTCTATATTTATACAGATTTCATAGATGAATGAAATATGATGTTTTATTTAAAAAAAAAAAACTAGTTGTAATCGATCATATAAATTACTTGATTTGGATTAAATAACATCCAATATTCATTTGCAGCCGTATTTATTATCATATACTTGTCATTGCCTCACGTCACCAGGATTGGATTGATTAGAGCTGACTTTTGCTTCTACTATAAAAAAAAAAAGCATGAAGCGACCATCGACGGTGGATGTTAAAGCCACTTCATCCAAAAGTATCACAATTTTCAGAAATAATAACAGGTGGTCCAATCATTCACCATGGATTATAGTCGACTGTTTCCTATTTTATAGAATTGAAAGAAAGAAAATAGTTTTTTCTCATTCAAATTAATTCCAAAATTTTTGTATTATGTGATTCAAGATGTAAAGAAAAAAAAAAAAAAACAACGAATATATGCATGTTGTGGGGTAGGGGAACGTGAAAATGTTTAAGCAATCAGCAGAATCCCCATCAAAGAAAATACCAACTGATTGGGTACCACTTTTTATGACACGGGCTAATTGGTTATGATCACCTTCTTTTAGATATAATCATTTGGTAGTTTCCTTTCTTCTTTTCTTACTCGTGAGGCAATTAAGTGTCTAAGTGGTAAATAACGCTAATTGGGCTTGATTTTTATTTCATAAGATAAAAGAAAAATTTAGGGATGATGTCAAAAAGATATGACACGGAAAAAAAAAGGCCTTTGACCAATCAAAACCCACCTGTTAGGTTATTGGTACAACTTTATGGTATCGGTTGCCTATAAATTAGTTATAAATTTTTCGGCATCATAATCGAACATTACATTCCTAATAATGCATTAATTTCATATTAACACGAAAATTGAATACATGATGATATCATCCTCATTCATGCATGAGTTTCACATAATATTATTATTACACACGTGCCTTCATCTGCATCACTTGTAAAAAGTGACTTCAACGACAAGCGTGTGTCTCTTTATCAGAGCCTGATCGAGGTCGTTTGATAACGATATCGTAATGTTCGTCAATTCGTCATTGTGTTGTACTGTGCGTACCACCACGTCCATTCTTAATTACATTACATATTATTTGATTTGATGGTGTTTGTTCGGTAGTGATATGCGATATATAATACTTTCTCATTAAGCAATGATGTTTGATAAGTCTCTGTTTGATGTATTAATTAATTAGATAAAGTCCAAATCCTATTAATTGAGGTCTTACTCACGTAATCTTAATTTGCATGCCTTCACCCATAAGTTCAACCGCACCACTTAAGAATTGAGGGCGTATTTGGTTTGCACTTTTCAGTTGGAATGGGAATCGAAATTCCTTGGAATAATCTATTAGTTTAATTATTGGTTTCAGATTAGAATTAGAATCAAAATCTGTACCAGGAGGGATGGTCACTCCTTCAAATAGGGGAATTTCATCCCACTATAAATGGAAATTGATCCATTTCTGTCCAATCAAATGATTTGTATTAGAATGGGTTATTCTGTTTGATTGCAATAGAAAAGAAGTCGATTAAGATCTGACGTAGAACAAAGTAAAAGCCAAAACAAAATTAAACCAAACGAAGCCTAGTTGTCAAACAATATCATCCAAAAGTAAATAATTTAGTTATTACATTAGAAATAGTGATGATATTTGTTGAATGGAAGGAAGGCCTGAAGGCCACTGGGCCAGGGTGGGTTGGGGCTTATCCAACATATCCACAAGGCTCACTCAACGGCTCAGCATAGTGTGATTGACTGCATGCAGACAGATTGCGGATTGCGCGCGGCCGCTTGACGCTTGTGACGACGTCTGGTAACTGGTATGGTCTAATAATACTAATAGAGATAGCTCTCTACATGATCACCGCCAACATGGCATGTTCCATTCTGATTTGGTAGCTGTCATGTTTCATACCCTTCCTTTTATTGTTATTGTTTACTCCAGAGTCCAGAGACCATCGCCCACTCCTACTCCTGGTCCACTAAACCCCAATATTGCGTTGATCAATTCACTCAGTATTCACCACCTTATCTTGTATCATCATATCATCACTTCATGATCACTTCACGCACGTCATCCATCATCCATTCAAAACACAGCCACCATCCCCATTGCCATTTGCCAGTTGCCACCAAAGTATGGTCCTCATCATACCATCCATGACCCATCATCATCACCCACCCTCAGATTTTTTTTTTTTTTTTCAGAGCACGTGCTAGTTCCTACATACACCATTACAGGACAGGACAGCACAGTCTCCCCAAAATTATCCCTTTCTCTTTTAAACTTCTTTGCTGGCGGGGATGTGCTGTGGGATATTATGGAAAACAACCTTGTGGGGGAGGGGGCTGATTTGATCTCCACTGTTATGTCATAAACGCGCGTACATTTGTATGCCACGGTTTTATATCTTTTGTGCATTGGAATTCATAATTGAGAAAAACAAAGCTGCACTGCACATGTACATATATTAATTATCCTTACATCTTTTACATTTGGTCCCTTTTGCCTGTTTTTTTTTTGGCACATACTTGTTTCTACCTGAACGAATTCAGTAAATTCCATGTAATTTACCAATTTTCAATTAATCTGGATTCTGGACAATTAATTAAAGTAAAACACCAAATTTTTAAATATCTAAACCAAACAAAGTGATTATAGAATTATGAGCATCAAGATGGATTCCTGTTAATATCAACTGTGTGTTTAATTTCCATCCATTCACATTGTGCATCAAGATTTCAACTAGTTTAGGGGAGAGGGAGGGGGGAAGGGGGGGTTGATAATATATATAAAATTGTTTCTCTTTGAAAACAAAAGTGACATCAGCAAAAAAAAAAAAAAGATTAATAGAAATGTGTGACTGTAATTGACGGCGGGTAAAGAGTAAATAGGAAAAGTGAGTAAAAAATCCCGTGTAGTTATCCAATACCCCTATACTTAACTTAATTATGATCCAAAAGAAGCTAAGTCGGTACGTAAATTACGTGGCATCCCTTTCCCTTGGGCCTTGGAGGGTTGGGTCCAAATTAAACCTGTGGAAATTAAGGCAGGTTTTGGGTGGTAGCTCGCTATCACCAACTCATATTAAGTATTAACCTAGCTACTTATTAAAGTAGGTCCCGTCTAGCTAGCAAATAACACGAGGCCAAATTAAGCTGCATCACATGTTAAAAAGACATCAATATATATATATATATATATATACATCTAATCCTTCCAATTAAAGTGATATTTTTTTACAAGGGCTGTGGTTAATTTTACTAAGACTTCAATTGTACGCACGCAGTGAAGAGCAGCGAGGTCAATACATGCCTGTAAAAACCTTAAAAAACAGCCCATGTGACAGTCCACCGACAAATCAGATTTTAGATAGTGGGGGGACCAAATTCATCATGTCTTTTTCTACGCGTGTGTTTGTTTAAGTGTGTGTGTGTGTGTATGGGTGTCAAATTAATGCCGTTGAAGGCCGAAAAGAACAATAGCATCGCTATTATTAATACACGCGACGCGCCCCCTAACAATACAAGAAATATTTTGTGAATTTATGGCCCGGCCTCCGGCAGAACCAATATATACTTGCGATCTTTTATAAACCTATAATTAACTTGCCACGTGCCGGAAATCTAAAATTTCAGTACCCAGTAATCAATGATCACATCTAAGAGAGGCCCCACATCAATGATCAGCCTCTCAAATCTTAATTGGAGAGGCCTCTTCTATTCATATTTTAAATGAGATCTGATTTAATCTTATATGAATCATATGTTACTATACATTACCAAATATTTCCCGGGCTTCGCCTCAAAATAAATAAATGATGTTCCGAAATTATTTTAATCCATTGGATTCTCCTATCCACTCTCTCTCGCTCTCATCTAAGTCATGCATCTTTGAACCACTCAACCTCAACCAATCTATAGAGGAGCCATTTTTCTCAAACTTGAATTATTTGGAGTGCATAGAATTAGAACTGTAATGTTGATAGATATACGCGTGGCTATAAAGAACCAAGTAGAGGTGGTTACAATGAAGAGAAAGTCTGTGGTATCATTGCTTTCTCTCTTCACAAGAAAAATACTCGCATTTTACAATCGCTTGTTAACCTTATATGTAGCTAATTA